CTGCAAGACGCCGGGCGTCGACCCTGATCCAGGGTGTGTCTACCGTAGATGACGGTGCGCAGTTATACATCCTCGTCAACGGCATGACGAGGGAGGAAGTTGGCGACGTCTGCCTCGAGGCTATGCCTGCAGTAGATGATTTTCTTGAGTTGGACAAGATGTCCTTCGGAACGCTTGGCGGAGCCTTGAAAGCAGGCAATTTAGCCGAGGTGATCGTTATACGACCTAACGAGGAGATTAAATCGTCGTCGCTTCTCAATGAAGCTGTCCTGGAAGCCACTAACAGGGTTCTAAACCCACGAAGTGGATCGTCGATCCTAGGGAATCCCTTGAATCCGTACTATCCTTTGGCAAAGAACTCAAGACGTCGTCTCCAACGACCCGCCGCCGATCCTACATCCGGACAGAGGTATGCGTCAGGAGATTGGCCTGGTTCCAGAAATCAAATACTGCGTAACACGCCAATGGCCTGTTCAAACAGCAGTGAGACATCATTGTCGCCTTTTTCTGTGCGAAGCACAACTCAGGAATGGTGCTTTAGAGCAAGTCTCCCAATTTAACACCAACGTTTTTTGTCCGGAAACCGAACAGCAAGTAACGTATCGTTCAACCTTACAATAAGCTGAATGATGCCATCATTCCGGATCAGACTCCAATTCCTAGAAAGGATATTCCCTAGAACACTATGCTTGGCTGAATAAAGTACAGCGTACTCGACTTGGTCGATGGTTGTAACAATTTCCCATGAAAGCGAGTGATATTCCGCTGACAGCGAGCGGGATGCGCCGGGAGTGGCTGGTGATGCCCAAGGGCTGTCAAATGCACCGACAACATCTAATCGTCTTGTGACGCATTTGTTCAGGCCCTATCGGGCGTATGCACAAACATACATTGACGATATCTTCGTCCACAGTCGTGCGGAGCACGGGAGGACAGATGTGGAATACCACATCGTTCATTTGAGAGCGGTGCTTGAGTGCATGCACACCAAAAGGCGGTATTTTAATACCTATAAAAGCATTTTCGGCGCGGAAAAATTCCCTTTTAAGGGTGTTTCATTGAAAAGCGCGGCCTTCAAGCGATCCCACTAAGGTCAAGGCCATTGTGGACAGGCTGGATCAAAAAAACCAAAAGGACTTAAGCTAGTGGATTGGCCTCGTCAACTACTTGCCACATATAGCACGAATTATGCGGAAATGGCACGGTCATTGTTCAATCTTTTTAAGAAGAAAAAGGAATGGTGCTGGGATACCGAGCATCGGGGTGCATTTGAAAAGATCAAAAACAACCTCCTTCATGAACCAATACTGGCGTTGCCAGACCCCGATCGTCCTTGTAGTGTCGTCTGTATCACTTCGAACATTGCCATCGGCTGCTCGCGGACACCGAGGGCGAGATCGGATGAGTGCGATCGCGTTCAAATCTCTCCAGCTTAAGGCTACAAAGAGGAACCACCTAGTCCACGACGAGGAATTACTCGCGATGAAGTATGCTCTTGCCAAGTTTAGGGTTCACCAGCTTGGCTCAGAGCCGTTTGTGATCTACACAGATCATGCTTCATTATGCACTGCGACTCAATCGCCTCACCTCTCGCAGAGGATGACCAGGTGGCTCTCAATCCTTGCGGAATGAAACTTTGAGGTGAAGTATAATACAGGAAAGTAGATGCTTTCGCTGATGAGCTGTCACGCCGACCGGACTATGAGCTTACTCATATCACGAAGGAGACGCTGTCAGTGACGGATTTGATCCACGCCGCATACGCGGGTGATAGTATGTGTACAGCGCTGCTACAGGCTTTCAAGTGCAAGGAGTTTGGAAACACGGACAAAAAATTGTCGGTGCGTTTGCGCGCAAGGTCACACCGATATTCGTAACAAGTTGCTGTATTGTAGCACCGATTCGACGGATCCGCCACGAATTGTGATTCCTCGCGATGAAAAATAGAAATATCGTATCTCTATGAGACCCACGACACCTCACTTAGTGGCCATCTCGGTCATGAGAAGACGTACAGCTTGGTGAGTTGTCACTACCAGAAAGCCAAGCTGTACAAATGGACGAGCACATGTGATGCGCACGTGTGTGACGTGTCAGAGGTTGAAGTCCTCTCCGAATGCGGCGGCGCCGCTAGTCAGTTTATCGGTATCCTTTGGGTGTTGACAGTCCATAAGATGCACTATATGTTTGGCCTGCCGAAGGACTTGGCGGGCAACTCGGGTGTTGTGGTCTTTGTGGACCGTTTGAGCAGGAATGGCTCATCTTGCGGTAGTGCCGGACACATCAGCGGTGTGGGTACAGCGACATTGTATATCGATCGAGATTTTAGACAACATGGAATCCCGAAATCAATTGTCTCTGATAGAGACCCGCCTTTCACTGGAAAGTTTTGATCTACAATCCTCAGGATGCTGGGCACCAAGTTGACTATGTCAACAGCGGGCCATCTGCAGACCGATAGTCAAGCTGAGCGCGTATAGCTGTCGTTGAAGACGTTCTTCGCAGCGTCTGCGCAGAGACATCGAAGCGCTGGGCGACATTCTGCCACTCGTAGCATTTGCTCTGAACAATGCAGTCACTTTATGTACCGGCTACACGCCGTCCTACGTGAACGAGCTTTTTCATCCTCCCGTCCCGCTGACGCCACCATCTCATAGCTCAGGGCTTGGTGGGGGAGGAATTGCCGAGCGGCTAGCTGATGTCAGCGTTCGTAAAGAAGTCGATGACTTCAAGTCTACCGGAATGAGTGTACTACGCACGTTTGCGATGCGGTGGCTGAAAGCCAAGACATACAGAAAGAATATGCAGACGGAAGAAGCAGAAGAAACGTTGATAACTTTGAGATCGGAGACCTGGCATTACTACGCTAGAAAACTTCCTACACGTGCAGTCTCTGCTGTCTTTAAGACAAAACTTCGTTCACATTTGTATGGACCTTTTAAGGTGGTGACCAGGCGAGGCCTTGCGTATACGCTAAACCTTCCGAGAAGGATGCGCACCCACTCGTTGTTTTCTGTTGGCCGTACCGGAATCCGGCACGAGTGAACGCGGATGCGTTGGCGCCGAGGCGGTACCCAAAGGCGCTCGGCCACCCAGAAGCTGAATTCTGATTCTGAGCACGGAGTGCAGCAACTTCTGTTTCTAACGACACAACCGCTCCACCGTTGCACTAAGCGACGTACTCATCTGCTCAACGGCTAGGAGCCGCTCCGACTGAGCGGGATAATCATCAACGTGAGGCGGTCGGCGCACAAAGAGCTTCAGGCTCTCGATGTTTTCCGCATAACGGTTGGCGACCTCGGAAAGATGCTCGGCGAAATGTCGATGAGACGGACTATGTTAATTAACGCTCGAAGATCATCGTATTCACCGGACGGCGATCGACCAAGTCGTCATCGCCCGCCCCACTCTTTCTCGAGGAGAATGATGTCGTCTACTTTCTCGTGGAATGTCTTATGGGTCGACGTCGCCGACAGGGTGAAGTGGTAGAGATACTCAAAATCCGAAAACTCGTGAGAGTTTGAGGTGCCACTTCGGAAACACTATCCAGACGTCGTAAACGCTTATGATCAGAAGAATCATGGTCATAGACGCACCGGAGCGTGATAATAGATTTCATGTGTCGCAGGGCGACAATACGCAGGAAGGCGGCGTTGCACCTTGACGAGAATAGCCCGCATTGCGAATACAGGAGCACCTATTTTTTGAGCTTAAAGTCAAACGCGTTATCAGTCCATTGATCGTTTTATGTAGTGGCCGGGGACCGACTACGTAGACGTGTAACGATCGAGTGATCGCGTCTTTCGCTTCAGTAGCGGGATCCGCCGAGGAGAAGCCGTACTCCACGCAAGGTCTAAGACCGAACGTGGATACGAGCGCAAGAGAGTCGCCTTGTGAGCAGCTTCCAATTGCTGCTCCTGTGCCTCGTCGAAACGTTTGGTAATGACATTACTTCCCCGGTAAGCCGAGAGGTTGTCGAACGGACACGGTGTCCGTAAGGTTCGAGCTCGGCTCACGTCGCACCGTTGGCGCATCTCATCCTCCTCGGCGAGAAAAATCGTCGCCCGGAGCGTGCGCGATGTGTTGCGCTCGGTTGTCGAGGGGTTGAGATAAGCTTCCCGCGAAGCCACGAACGTACTGTCCGGAGATGCACTCTGTGTAGAAGAAGAAGGGCTTGGACCGCGGGCGCCCTCGGAACCAGCTAGACTGGTTTTTTTGCGTACCATAGACAGAGGGTTCATTGAGAGAAGAATGTTGACGGATGTTTTTAAGACATAACGGTGTCTCAGACAGGCGAACCTCGTATGAGGCGTCAGTTAATCTGAATTCTGGATGTTCACAACTTTGCTGGGGGAGAGTGTAACGGGGTTACACGTACCCTTGTATGAGAAGGCGAGGCACACAAGATGGTGTAGCCGTACATAGGTGTGTAATACACAATTTAGTGTATTCACACAGTGGTGTAGCTACACCATAACAAGAAGCCAGCACGTGGCATGATTGCCACTATTAATGCATATCAAATAGGTTATACTGTATTTACTACGAAAACCTCAGTTTTTATATTGGCGGCTATGCCGCAACTCAAACATATAAATGCAGTTTCGATTCTGGGTATAACAGCTTCTTTACCTTGGTTAAAGTTTTAAGTACTTGGAGGTAGCGGATTGCGATCCGCTACACTCGTCCTGGTTCTTGTAAAGACGTAAGGTCGGTTGCCTTAGCTTACCTTTCTCTAAGCATAGAGCTCTCGATCATTTCGAATTAGCGACCAAATAAAGCAAACGCATCGTTTTGCTAGGCGGTCCGTGCATACATTTACAAGATGACCGCGACACGACCGGACATCGTTTTTGCGGTGGATGATGTTTTGTGCTTCATGGAAAACCTTCAACCAAACCCCGAGACCGCGTTGAAGCATGTCTTATGCAATGAACAAGGAGTCTTGTCGCGCGACATCTGTTCTAAGCCTGGTGATAAAGCAAACTTTTGCGGCTACTCTTACGCAGAGTTGGCTGGTGATCGCTTCGACTGCAAATCAACTTCTGTCTGTACGTTTCTGCATGTAAGCGCACCTGTAAGGGAAGCAAGAGATAGTCGAATGTGTCGCATCAATCAGAAACGGCGGAGACCTGAATGTAGTTAGATTCACCGTCTACTTTGCCCAATTCTGTCGGCGACAGGCAAGTCAGACCTGAGCTTGTGATCCTCGAAGACAGTCCGTCGAGCATTAAGATGACCAAGATTTGCGGAACATGGATGCGGCAGCCACATTGAGATCAGTCGCCATATTCGAAACGATCCCAGTGTAATAAGTAAGTCTCAAGTACTGCGAGACTTCCTTGATGTTAATCGGCATCATGACAATGATTCTACCAGCACTGCGTCGCAAGGGCTTCACGACGGCGGTCGAACCCGGCGTGTGTCCGTTGATAATGCCATCCATATGTAGGCGAGTAGATTAATTAGAGAAGTGCAGGTTGTTGGCAATTGCTAGATCCAGACTAGATAATTTAAGTCAATCAGTCACATTAAAACTATTATATATCCATAAAAATGTCTCCGCTTCGGTGTGCCTTTCCAACCGGTTACTTTTCCCTTTGCTCCGTCCAGCTTCTACGATGCCCAAGATGCGTGGTAATTATTGGGCTTGATTGCTTGTATCGATCAGCTTTTCAACTAGATAACATTTTTGGTCGTCTGTGATACTTCAACAATCGATAGTATGAGAAGTATGTCAAGGCGGCCAAGTGCAAATACTGTAATATTGTGACAAATACATGACGATACAATTGAACGGAAATTACATCACATCAATTGCTTGAATGTTATCAAATTTCTAAGCTAAATTATGAAAAAAGACAACAATCTCTAGATCGTTTCCGATTCTTTTTTATTTGAAGGCCTGAATCTACTTACTGGCTCATCTTCCATGAGATAGTCATGATGACTTTGACGATTGTCAAAACGCCATAACAAACCTACGATCAACACTTATTTCCATATTACCCTGACCATTGCCGGACTAATTCTATTCCAGGTACTGAACCAATAAAGATATTATGTCAAACAAATCGCAAGTCACACATCAGTGCTGAAGTGCGAGAAGATATAACTTAGTCTGATGCTTAATCTGGTTAAACAAAATATCGTTGCTCCTTTTTGTAGCCTCACTTCCAGCCTCAAGCTGCATGAGCAGTTTCTCAGTTTCCTTCATTTGAGCTTTAGTGCCCTCTGTCAGGAAATCGCTAAGTGCCGATTGAAAAAACCGTACTTCGACAATCAGCTGCAAAAATAAAGGCAATCACAAAACGCGATTTCAGCATTAAAGACAAGTGCAGCAGCGTAGAAAAACGTACCTGACATAGTGTCCACTCCAAATTGCCGGGACCTTGTAAACTAAGTGCCGACGCCTGAAGAAATTCAGCTAATGCTGCGACTAAAGGGTCAGTGACGGTGCGGATATAGTCCCAGCATTGAGGGTAACATCCTATGCTCATTTCGATCTCACTCCGCAGCGTAATAAGCTGCAAGAGAACGTTAAATACGTACTGTCGTGGATCTGAGGGTATCGCTGTTGTATGCATAGGATTAGATCCTGAGGACTGCACCGTTGATAAAGTTGACATGCCAAGGCTACCAGTGCGGCTAGTGTGAGAACTGTGTCTGCCACTGTTGTGAGACTGTAATGGTTCCTCTGCCGCTCCAGTTTGAAGAATTTTCTTCAGCGGAGTAACGTGAGAGGATGAGTAAATGTCCATGCACTTTGTTTCTACACTCAGCACCACGTTGAAAAGAGCTCGTGTTCCGAAAGTAGCTGCTCGGCCATACTTTGACAAACTCTTTCCAGCATCTTCATCAAAATTTCCATGCTTCAGCTGTGCTACCCACCCGTCGACAATGCGAAGACATTTCTCTCGAAACTCGATGCAGTTTGCAACGATAACTAGCAAAATACACGCTTGTGCCCCAATCTGGGCGCCGTTAGCCGTACTATGAGTGTAGTTTCCATCTTGATCTGAAAGTGTGACTTCTGCAAGAAACGAAGCTACCACTTTTTCGAGAAATTCAGACAACATTTCGCGCAAGTGCTCTTCTAGAGCGTGAAAAACTTCTGAACGAAATTGAACGTCTACGTCTAGATCTTCAGACTTCGCAATAGTAACAAGTTTATCAGTGCATGAACTGGTTTGCTTTGTGATGTCCAACACATCCAACAACACGTGCCCGATGTTCTTCCAAATGCTTTCCCATCGCTGTAGAATATCTGCAGCGAAAGTTTTAAACACAAGAGGCTGATGCAGTAAAATCTTGGACTCAGAAGAAATTCGAGATGCATTTTTGATTGCGCTGGACGCCTGTTGAGCTTCCAAGACCAGACGCTGCACCTTTGTTCGCGAGCCCGTTACCATCAGCGGGTTATGACTGATTGCGTTGGGAGCTGCGATGGACATCTCGCTTGAATATGATGGAAGCACCATCACTATCGGCTCAAAATACTCTGCAAGCAACCCTGATTGCGCAGACTGACATTCTTGCTTCAAAAAGTCGAGTACAACTGTCGTGCGGAATTTCGTACAGAAAGTTTTGCTGAGTTGCTTAATGTTCGCGTTAAGCATAGCAGCATTAGGGCACTCGCATAGACTTCGAATTTGACGAAAGACTTCTGACAATAACTTAAGACGCTTTGCTGAAGGTGGTAATATATAGCGTTCCAGCAGTTCAGTATACCTCGACAGTATATTCCATGCTTTTTGTTGAACACTTTCAGCTTCAAAAGAAGTTATGTTGTTACTGATTACTGCCATTTCACCTGTCGGGGACCTTAAAAGCTCACAAATGAAGCTCCATAATCCGTTGTAAAAACGAGCCAGGCCAGCGACGCATTCATTGATAATGTTCTCACAATAAGAAGAAAGATGATGCGTTAATGCCATGCATTGGCTAGTGTCTTCAGCTTCGATTTCCGCTAGCTTGCGCTCCAGATACTCAAACTGTTTTGTGATACATATTAATATGGGTTTTTTTACCAGTCCCAATGCAGTCAACACATTGATTGTGTGTTTCTGACAGGTAAAAGCAACGGATAAGCTAGAATTTGTATAGACAATTGTTGATAAAAATGACTGCAGCTCACCTGATCCGCTGCCGTAGCGGTCATATCCTCAAATTTTTGAAGCAACTCTGTATTAGCGGTAGCTGCAATGTCATGACCGGCCGTGACTACGCGCTTTAGTGGCAGGGCAAGGCTTGCCAGCTTTGCGCTCTGGTGTTTCAGTCTTGTGTATTCCAACGCCAGCGTGTCATAATCCTGAAGTAGCAGATTTACCTTCATCTTGCTCGTCAACTCCAAAATGGGTCGCATGCGTGTCAGCACCACAAGTGTGTGGCGAATTTGTCGCATCTTTCTCGCACGTTGTAGCATGACCGTTAAGGAGGCGTCCGTAACGCGGTGGAGATTGTGCGTGTCTGTTATCAGTGCTTTAGTGTCTTGATGGTGCAAACTGATGTCTGCAGCCAATGTGCGAACGGCCTCATGGCAGCTTAGATATTGGTCAAAATGCGCACTCACGAGAGCTTTGAGTTGCGCTGTCTTATCACTTGTCGTTTTGCTCAGCGCAGCTAGCGTCGTTTGTAGCTCTAGAAAGGTCGTGTTCTGGTGGCAAACCCCAATTAGGTAGAAAACTATCAAATTTTGCACTTTTGACTCACCGCGTGCGTAACAGCCAAGTATCGTGCAGCATCAAACGTAGAAGAAGACAAATCTATCTCGGCCTGGCAGTGTATTCTTGCTGCTTGCGTCTTAATTGGAGTGTCTGTCATGGCGTCGTTTCGCGATCCGAAAGACTGTAGAGAATCGATTGCGAGCGAAAGATACAAATTATTTTAGCTATTCATTCCATCTATTTCTACTGTTTAGAGCATAAACTGCTGATACATGTTGTTGTCTGTTTCTTCGTGAAAGACATAGGCCAACTGATCAAGAAACGTTTGAAAGCGAACCAAATCGTTCTCAGAGACCTGGAAGCCCACAAGTACCCGCCCAACGTCGGCGCCATGGTTTCGATAATGGAAAAGGCTGATATTCCAAGTCGGTTGTAAGGCCTCTAAAAACGTTGCTAGAGCACGAGGGCGATCCGGAAACTCAAAGCGATACAGTCGCTCATTCTTCACCCCACCACGAGCTCTACCGCCAGCCAAGTATCGCGTGTGTACTTTCGCCAGCTCATTGTTGGACAGGTCCAGAACCTGGAAAGTATCTCCGCGGAACGACATCTCGTCCTTCAAAGTTTGAATAGCAGCTTCTGCGTGATCAGCGGTTGGCGAGTGAAACGACAAATGCACGCGAGCTTTCTGGGTATTAGCATAACGATAGCTAAACTCGGTGATGCGGACACCCGCCGTGTCAAGTCGGTGGTTAAGCCGCAGGAAAGCACCTGGACTCTCATTGATCTCCACAGCAAGTAAGCTCTCATGTGAATCTGCACGTTCCGACACAAAGCGAAGACGTGCAAAGTCGATATTGGCACCAGATGTGACTGCAACAAATTGACAGCCTGAGAGGCCTCGTGTCTTGGCGTACTGCGTCATTCCAGCAATTGACAAGACACCAGCCGGCTCCAGAATGGCACGCGTATCGTTAAATCCCGCCTTAATCGCAGCGCAGATTTCGTCCGTCGAAACCGTCACCATTTCGTCTACGTACGCGGAGCATACGCGAAATGTCTCGGCTCCTACCTTTTTAACCGCCGCGCCATCCGCAAAGAGTCCAACGTGATCTAATTCAACCACTTTTCCAGCTTGGAGCGATTTTGTCATACCCGCGGCATCAGCTGCTTCGACACCAATCACCTTTACACTCGGTCGGATCTGTTTGACCCAAGCCGCGATACCAGCAAGCATACCACCTCCTCCTGACGCTACAAAGATGGCGTCCAACTTTTCACCATTTCCGCTTGTCTGCTGAAGGATCTCCATGCCAATTGTACCCTGACCAGCAATGACGTATGGGTCGTCGAAAGGTAAAATCAGCGTTAGTTTCTCCTGTTCCACCAATCTGTGGGCCTCAAGGGCTGCGTCATCGAATGTCTTTCCAAACAAAATGATGTCTACCAACTCTTGACCGTGTTGGCGCACAGCATTCACCTTGATATCAGGCGTGGCCAAAGGCATGACGACCTTGGCACGGATCCCAAGCTTGCGAGCTGATAGTGCCACGCCTTGCGCATGATTACCAGCCGAGCAGCATACACAGCCCACAGCTCTTTCCTTTTCAGAAAGACTGGCCATTTTGTTGTAGGCACCTCGAATCTTGAAGCTGAATACTGGCTGCAGGTCTTCGCGCTTAAGCAACACGTGGTTTTGTAGCGCATGAGTCAACACCGGTGCTTTCTGCAACGGAGTTTCTTCTGCCACGTCGTACACGCGCGACTCCAGAATCATACGACGGTAATTAGGTAGTGAATGGACCGAAAGGCGGCGCACGGCATTGCTGACGTGCGCGGGAGGCACAGCAAAGTTTAATTTCATAGTTGCCGGCTAAAGTTTAATGACAGGTCACAATTTTGTTAGTCTCTTCTTGAAAATTCACAGTAATAATTCAGCTGATAATGTTATTGAAATGATGAAATGATATTATTCCATTTTATTAGCTTATTCGTTGACTTCATGGTGAGAAACAAGCCGTTGTGAACATTGTTTGCGACATAATTGCGAAGGCTCGGGATCGCCAAAAAGTGTGAGCAGATAAGAGCGGAAGGAAGAACAAGCAACTGTGCATGGTCAACGATATTGCATTGCTTATTACGGCAACTTTGCTAGTGGATGCAGTGTTTAACCACTTTCCGAACGTCTATTGGACCGTTCAAAGTAGTAAAGTATAATGATAATGCCTTCACGTGCCCACATCCTACATTTAGACTAACATCGTACACAGACAGATGCATGGCGTAAAAAATCATTATATCAAAATAACTGTTCCTGAGGTAAGCAGTGACAAAATCCATTTCGCAAGTGTCTTGACTTCTAAAACATCTGAAAGGTCCATGATCCTATAATGAGCAATACAAGCACATGCCATACAAGGCAGCATCAATCTTCATGGATATACTCTTCCGAACGTCCACATCACAGTAAGTTTTCATGTTCACATATAGTGTGATAGTCTTTGCGGCAATTAAGCTCCGTACAAGCGTCAACCACGTTTAAGGTCAGCATGATCTGCGTGAAGAGTGCTGCAGGAGTGGCGCAACACACGAAAGTCGATGTTGGAAATCAATCTGATGGTTTTACCCATGTGATCGTTGGTTGGTTTAGGAGATGCAGTTTGTCTATCAGAATCGCGTAAAGTTGATATATCCTTCAATAATTGTCTGAGGCGATCACAAGAAAAACCATCTCCTGCAGAAATCCGATGATCGCTAAAATGAAAGTCGCGATTGACACTAAGCGCAAGCCGCGCGTCAAGGCCAAACGCAGCGCAACGTTTGATGGAACGAAAGTCGACAACTGAGTGCAGAGAGTGAATTGAAATATTTGGCTTACCAGTGGTTGAAAATACTACACTGTACGGGCAAGAAGTCGGATGCTTACTAGCCAAGGGCTTGCCAGGGGGCAGTTCACTTTTACGTGCTTTTGACCATGGGAAAACGATTAAGTGAATGGGAGAAGTGAGGACGCTAAGACGACATTTCGGTGGCGAAGATACTGCCAGTACAGGAAATTTAATACGATCTGATTGAATTCATTCGTGTCATTCTAAACCGTTGTACTATACACGCTACTGGTGTGCCTTTTCTCCCGCGTTATTGAACAATTTGGTAGCCCCGTCGTGCACAATTAGAAAAAAACAAGCACAAGTGAGTCTCATGTACCGTGTTGGCATCACCGAATTAACGGAATTAGAAACGGCGATGGCAGCTGTTTTGATCCTATATCAGAGCCACTCTGTCAGATTCTAGCGACAGTACTTAGAGCTTCAAAGATGTGGTACACGGAATCATAGAATTAAAGTCAAGGACAGTAAGGTGGTTTGACAATCGTTTGGTGCGATTGTTTATTGTTCTTCTTAGAATAGCACTACTGATGCCGTGGATCATGTTGCAACACCATCGTGAACCTCGAAATCGGCAAATAAATGAAGTTTAGCATACCTGGGGGGAAGGTTGAGTTTGTCTCGGTAGGCGTTGACAAAATTTGCGAATCTTTTGAGCTGATTATTGTACCATGCGCTGAATTCTTCCCCCGATAAAACTTTTGCCTGTTCTTTACCCATGTAGTACAGCGCTGTGCCATACACAAATGGCGACAGGTTCTTTTCGACTAAAGCTTCACCGGAAAGGCCCTCTTGTGATAATTGCGAGATTGTCTCTTCGAGAATTTTTTCAGCATTTAAACAGGATAGGCTATCCAGTTTTTGCAAACCTTCTTCCCAAAATTTTATCCCAGCCGAAAGAGATGCAGGAGGTTGTATACTCTTCATCCACTCGTTTTGCTTCTCTAGGAGGCTGAGAAGGTTCTTTGTTTCTGGATTTCTTTCCCAGTGTGTGAGAGAAAGTTTCAGTTGGACTGCTATATCGTGGTCGTGCTCCAGCCGGGACTTTACCTCGAGAGGATGAAAACCTAACATAAGCGCGTGGAGGGCTCCTTCCGTTTCCATTATATTTGCGAATACATTGTTTTTAAGGTGGAGTAACGTCTTGAATGATGTACTGTGCACCAACTTCATGGCTTTGATGCCCCTTGAAAACAGTGCACCGAGTTTCGACATCTCCGTCTCCATTCGTTCTTCATTTGCTTTGATCTTGCCACCGCTTGAACGAAGCAAGCGACTGCCGTGGATCTCCCACTGAGTAACACTGCCCCGCTTTGACTCTATTTTTTGAAGCTGGGATTTACGTGTCGGTTCCGAAATTGCGTCATTACTAGTGTCACTGGCGAGGAAAAGAAGGAGTAGATACTGACAGCTGCGCATGATTGCTATTCGTTGAGCTCAATGAATTCCTTGAAGGCGGCTACAAAGCAAATATGAGAATGCAATACTCGTAAAGGTCTTGATCGGCAGACAGGCGCGACTATTGATCTTCGAGATAATGTTCTAGTGATGATCGAAGAGACGATGACGACGCTGTTGATTCGTATGGAAACAGGATCTCGGGTCTGTTATCGCTCCGAAATGTTATCAAGGTTCTGCATAAACCGTGTTGTAAACGCTGAACTAGCACAGAGTGCGAATCTCAAGTGCTTAAATTAGATGATTTGATGCGACTATCGACAGCGAAGGTGAGAGTGTATTGCCAAGCAGTTTGACATCCTGATTTGAGAAGGCAAGCACAGCGCTTGCTCCCTTGATGTTTACCAGCTTCTGTGTTGAGATAAGGATAGCATAGTGAGCTAAAATAGAGAGCTGAGCTTCTTGGCCTTTTGCTGTTCTCATTGATCTAGAAGTTTGGATGAAGCAATCCTGAGATAGTTTCCAGATGGTGGTAGCTTTGATAGTATGTTGAATTTAGCTGTAAAACAGAGTATATTCGAATGAGTTCGAATGACAGGCCAATAATGAAAACAAGTCATCTAAATTATCTCAGATAAAGTAGCACTGTCAAAATTTACGAAGTACGGAAATCGGAAATCGACTGATGCTAACGCCAAGGTACATTTCTGGAAACGGTAGTAATCTTCAACATAAACACTTGCGACCAGGTTTTACAATTTTCAGAAATAGTGCAGATAACCATCTCTTTAGGGACCCTCGTGTTAAAATATAATTATAACTGATAAATACCTGTAACTTATAAACCTGATTTATGATGGGAACGAACCTACTCCCACGCTATTGTGGTTGCAAAAATCTCTTGTTGGGGCTTAGCCACTTAACAATATTTTTCTAAATAATCAGGATATGATGCTGAGGACTTCGATCG